CCTTCCGGCTTTTTTCTTTTTGCTTATGCTGAGGAATAGAACCCAGGGCCTCATGCATGCAAGGCAAGCTCTCTACCACTGAGCCACCTTCCCAGCCCTGAAGATAAGTTTTATACAATAGCTTGTTATTACAAATGAAAAGCAAACTCAGAATTTAATCTTCAATTAGCATATGCCTTTGCCAAAACATAGGAATTTGCTTAAGTGGAGCTGTTGACATACAGCCCACAATTCCCTGAGGACCATGTGTGCCCACTGTGACATGCTGTAGAAATGACTAGCATTTATGTTCTGGAACATATCAAAAGATAAAACTGACAAAATCTTTCTCCCTGAAGAATTTACATACTAATGTAGGGAGAAAGATTTTTTAAAAATTAAGTAAATTATACAGTATGTTACAGGAGTAAGGGCTAGTGTGTGTGTGTGTGTGTGTGTGTGTGTGTGTGTGTGTGTGTAATAAATGGATGTATGTATATCTGTATTGTGAAATTATTGGGTTTAGTGAATTACAAGGGTCTTAAGAGTGCTAACTTATTAAAATGGAGAACTTAGTGGAGTGAACATAAATTTCAATGGAGATTATAAAAGAGGAAAGGAAAAATACAATAATAGAATCCTTCCAGTTGGTAGGAGGATTAGATCCTGTTTAGGAAACCTTAGATTAGAAAATGGAAGTTCCCTCAGTTTAAAGAGTAGAGAATGGGACAAGAAGAGGGAACAGCGATTTTAAAATAATATTCATTCCTTTCATCGATGCTGTTGCTTAACTTGAGGGCAAAGACTTTTCTATGACCCGAACCAAGGATTCAAGCAAAAGCAGGAGGTTTGGGTTATTTGAGTATCAGCTGTATTGACTTCAGAACTAATGCCGTGCCTGCCAGAAGGTGAAAGTTTCTTTTCAATAAACTTATGCTCTAGAAACTTCCAGGAGAGTCTGGGCTGGAACTGGCTGACAAGCATGGTCAGATACGTTCTGTACGAGTCCTCATTCTGGGAATGTGAAGGTGAGCACTGGGACAGGGCCTCATCCACCTGTGGACAAATGCTTTTCCTGGGATTTCAATCAAACATACTACAGAAGCAGAAATTGTACTTCATTTCATCATGCACAAGAATGAAATCCTCAGAGGAACAATCCCCTGACAATTAAGAGCTGATATGAGGACTGGATTTTTCCCTCAGTCCTGAGGCTTGAACTCAGGGCCTGGGCATTGTCCCTGATCCTCTTTGTGCTCAAGGCTAACACTCTACTACTTGAGCCACCAATACCACTTCCAGCTTTTTCTGAGTAGTTTATTGGAGATAAGAGTCTCACAGACAGGAGTAGATTCTTTTAAATACAAGAAGGAAAGACCTGTTTTTAGAGTTGGACCTTCCAGTTTCCACAATTCAACATTCTTCAAGGGCTACAGTAGTGACTCTGAGCTTAAAAGTCATTGTGACTAAAGCACACTTCTTTCGTTTCCTGGGGCCTTTAATTCCATAGGAGACAGATTGGAACACTCATTTGTCATGAGTTTTGCTCTCGGTCCCCAGCCTCAGAATCTTGTCTTCATCTGGTTGGGTCAGATAAGAGGGAGAGAGTTACCAGAATCTCCCTCATGGGTTTAAAGCAAGTCAAGTACATATCCATCAGCACTAAGAACTGGAAGCAAGAATTCAATTAACAGCAAATTCTTCATTAGCTGATGGATAAAACAGAGGAAAGGCAGTAGGGAGCATAACAATCTTATTTTCCTGAGTTTTGTTATAATAAAATAATTGTGTAGTGTTCATGTATTGCAAGTTTTAGCTCTGGAGAAACTACTATAGGAATCCTAGTTAGAAAGCCATATAATTCTTGATACATTAGTCACAAGCTTTCTTTAGTCAGAATAAGTATTTATATGGAGGGTGAGTACTGTTACAAATGCAGATTCAAGGTGTCTTTACTTTGGAGCAGTCTATGTGGGTCCTGTTGCTGAGTGAATGGATGGGTGGGAAAGGCTCAATTTATTTCATTGCAAAGAGCTTTGAAATCTGCTAGTATTTCCTCTCAACTTAGAGAAGGTCCTGGAAGGATCACAGAGAATAATAGAGAATATTGAAAATGGGCTAGGAACATTGTTTAAAAAAAAGAAGTGGTGCTGGGTGCTAGTGGTTCACGCCTGTAATCCTAGCTACTCAGGAGGCTGAGATCTGAGGATTGCAATTCAAAGCCAGCCCAAGCAGGAAAATCTATGAGACTCTTATCTCCAATTAACCACCAGAAAACCAGAAGTGGTGCTGTGGCTCAAGTGGTAGAGCACTAACCTTGAGCTGAAGAGCTGAGGGACAGCACCCAGGCCCAGAGTTCAAGCCCTATAACCAACCAAAAAAGAAAGAAAGAAAGAAAGAAAGAAAGAAAGAAAGAAAGAAAGAAAGAAAGAAAGAAAGAAAGAAAGAAAGAAAGAAAGAAAGAAAGAAAGAA